TTTAATTTTGCCCTCTGAATTTTGCAATAAGGAGTTCATGATCTGAGCCACAGTCAGCTTCCAGTCTTGTTTTTGCTGACTGTATAGCGTCTTTCCGTCTTTGGCTTCAAATAAGGAAATTAATCTGATTTTGGTGTTGACCATCTGGTGATGTCCATGTGTAGTCTTTTCTTGTGTTGTTGGAAGAGGGTGTTTGCTATGACCAGCGCGTTCTCTTGACAAAACTCTGTTAGTCTTTGCCTTGCTTCATTTTGTATTCCAAGGCCAAACTTGACTGTTACTCCAGATATCTCTTAACTTTGTACTTTTGCATTCTAGTTCCTGATGATGAAAAGGACATCTTTTTTTTTGGTGTTGCTTCTAGGAGGTCTTGTAGGTCCTCTTAGAACCGTTCAGCTTCAGCTTCTTCTGCATTACTGGTCGGGACATAGACTGGAATTACTGTGATGTTGAATGGTTTGCCTTCGAATCGAACAGAAATCATTTTGTCGTTTTTGAGATTGCTCCCAAGTACTGCATTTCAAGACTCTTTTGTTGACTATGAGGGCTACTCCATTTCTTCTAAGGGATTCTTGCCCACAGTGGTAGATATAATGGTCATCTGAGTTAAATTCGCCCATTCCAGTCCATTTTAGCTCACTGATTCCTAAAATGTCAATGCTCACTCTTGCCATCTCCTGTTTGACCACTTCCAATTTGCCTTGATTCATGGACCTAACATTCCAGGTTTCTATGCAATATTGTTCTTACAGCATCAGACTTTACTATCATTACCAGTCACATCTACACCTGGGCATGTTTCTTCATTTTGGTGCCATCTCTTCATTAGTGTTGTTAAAATTAAATAAATTAATACATGGAAAATGTTAGAGCATACCTGGCATATAGTAACCACTCAAACATTTAAAAATTTTCTATCATTTAAGTCATTTTATGTTGAATCTTTCAGCTTTTGATTTTGAACGTGTTTTGTATAAAATGGCAACTTTCAATTAGCTGTTTTTCCTGTCAAAAAGCTAGGAAACAACAAAAAGACAAGTCCTTACAAAATGGACAACGGATTTCAACAGACATTTCTCCAAGGAAGCTAGAGAATAGCCCAAAACACATGAAAAGATGTTCGGCGTCATCAGTCATTAAGGAAATGCAAGCTAAAATGACAATGAGATACCACCTCAATACCCACTAAGATGGTCATTTAAAACATATGACCAACATTGGTGAGGATGTGGAGAAACTGGCATTTGTACATTACTGGTGGGAGTGCAAAATGGCTCAGCTGCTGTGGAAGCCAGTTTCGAGATCCTCAAAGAGCGAATACAGAGTGAGTGTGTGAGCTGCCGTCCACTCCCGGTGCTCACCCAGAGGAACTGAAGGCAGGGCCCACGCAAGCCCTGGGACACACACGCTCACAGCAGCACTTTTCACAAAAAGTGCGAACGTCCAAATGTCCACCAATAGTGAGTGGATAAACATGATGCATGCATACAGTGGAACAGTGTTCAGCCATACATACTGGAAAATAGGATGAGGCGAATATCACATTCACAGAAGCAATAAAAATGATACTATATGTGGGACCAAATACAACAGAAACATACAACCTGGACAGAAAGAAAGCTGAGTAGTGCAGAGAAACACTATGCATCTGAATGAGAAGGCTCAAGGCTGCTAAGATACAACCTATTTCCAAATCAACCTGCATATTTAATAGGACTTTACTTTTTTAACTTGCAAATTGACTTCTAAATTCCACTGGAGGAATCTGTTTGTGAGGAACTAACATAATATTTTAAAATTAAAGGGGACAAGCCCTACCATATGGTAAGACATATTTCCAAGCACTATAATTTAGGAAATTTATCAATGTAGAAACGAAGAAGTAGATTATGAGACCAGAAATCTAGAAATGAGAATTTGTCATATACTAGATTGCTTCCCAGGTGGCACCAGTGGTAAAGAAACTGCCTGCCAATGCAGGAGATGCAGAAGACTCAGGTTCGATCCCTGGGTCAGGAAGATCCCCTGGAGGAAGAAATGACAAGCCACGGCAGTACTCTTGCCTGGAAAATCCCACAGACAAAGGGCCTGGCAGACTACAGTCCATGGGGTCGCAAAAGAGCCAGACACAACTGAGCAAATGAGCACAGACCTGAGACAGCCAATGGCAAAAAGTAGGAGGAAGATAGACTAATCGCATCATCCGGGAACATGTGGATGAAAACTAACATGCAGAAATAAATTCCTAGTGGATTAACTGTTCACATGGAGAGAGGAGACCACAACAGAACTAGGAGAAAATGCGAGCATGCACTTACACCATATCAGGATGCGGAAGGCCTAGCTAAGCATGACTCCAGGGCAGAGATTACAAAAAAAAAAAAAAAATTGCTAGATACATTTGACTGTATATGAGAAATGAAAAGACAAATGAAAAGTTGGGGAAATAATTGCAATATGCATGATAATAAGGAATTAATCTCTAAAATATGTAAAGAGCCCTTACAAGTCAATAACGAAATAGTAATACCTTAACAGAAAAATACAACAAAGACATGAACAAAAAATTATTAGAGTTTATTCGTGGGTACTGAAGTATTTCATATGATCTAAGGGAAGACTGTGCAAATGGGTCATGTGTTCAACAAGCATTTCTTGAGTCCTTGCCACGTGTTCAGTTTCCAGTGAGCTAAGGTACAGTCCCACCTTCTTGGATGCAAGAGGTTATGCTGCCATAATGAGTTAATCTCAATGGCTTAACACACAAAGAAAGTATTTATCCGTCTTATTTCATGTCCAATACAGTCAATGATGCCTTCCCTGGTCGTAAAAAAAGTCTTCCTGCAATGCAGGAGACCTGGGTTCAATCCCTGGGTCAGGAAGATCCCCTGGAGAAGGGAATGGCAACCCACTCCAGTATTCTTGCCTGGAGAATCCCATGGATGGAGGAGCCTGGTGGGCCACAGTTCATGGGGTCACAAAGAGTCGGACATGACTAAGCAACTAATATTTTCACTTTCACTCACAGCCAATGAAGGGAGCTTTGCTTCCTATTCCCCCATTAATCAAAAAATTCCAATACCCAAATACACCATTCAACAGCTATAATATTTGGTTTTCTAGGCAAGTCCTCCCTTTCTCGTTTGATGATCTTGAGTGTGCTAAGTCGCTCAGTCATGTCCGACTGTTTGTGAGCCCACGGGCTGTAGCCCACCAGGCTCCTCTGTCCATGGGATTCTTCAGGCAAGAACACTGGAGTGGGTAGCCATTCCCTTCTTCAGGGTTGATGACCTTAGTACATCTTCAAAAGGCCCAGACTGTTAACAGATACTTAAGCTGCATATGGGAATTGTGTCTGCACTCATTCTTTTTAATAATGAAGCTGCATAACAGGGAGGAAGAGCTAACTTTAGAGGTATTGATTCCAGCTTCCTTGCCAGGGTGAAATACAAAAGAACAAACGCTTATTGGTTTAAGAATAGCTTTCATCATCAAATATGCTGGTGGTTAAAACTGATCTGGCTGCTCTGAAGTTCCTCACACTGTCTTACATTTTGCAAAAAAGAAAGACAGGGGGGAGCAGGCGAGGAGGGGGAGGCCCTCTGGGCGGAAGCAGGTCATCCCTGCTGGGCCTGAACCCACGGGTTAGCGTCTCAGAGCCCAGCTCCAGCCATCCTCTGTCGTTCTCCTCTCCAGGAGAACGTGCAGCCACGCTTGCCAGGGAAGAAAAGATGCTTGTTTTCTTCCTCATTGTACAGAGCAGCTGAGCAGTGTCTGCATGACTTCTTGAACAAAGAATGTGGTTCAGACCTTCTTATTGCTTACTTACTTCATTTAAAATTTAACAGATGTCAATTGTGACACATAAACACTTTCTCCCCAGGCGATGGATTAAGGCAAATTTCATTTTACGCCTGGCACGAAAGACATGCTCTATTTTGTGCTGAAAGACCTTTTTTTTTTAAAGAAAGAGGAAAAACCATTCTGGCTTAAAATTCAGTAATAATGGAAGAAAACCAATTTCCACAAAGGCATTGTCCTGGAAAGCTTTATTGGCTTCGGGCGCCACCCAATGGGCGCACGGAAGATTACACAGGGCTGTCCCACCGGCTTGCACCCAAGGTGCAGTGAACACAAAAGCAGCGTGTCGCGGCAAATACGGCTCATGCAGATTTCTGTGCCAGGTGGGACGCTGCCTTCAAGTTTTACGGCTGGCTCCAATTAGTTACAGAGCCTTGGGTGAGCCCCTCAACCTCTCGGAACCCCAGGTGTGTGTGCTAAGTCGCTTCAGTCGTGTTCTGCTCTTTGCGACCCCATGGACTGTAGCCCGCCAGGCTCCTCTGTCCGTGGGATTCTCCAGGCAGGAATACTGCGGTGGGTTGCCATGCCTTCCCCCAGGGGATCTTCCTAATCCAGGGATGGAACCCTAGTCTCTTGCATCTGCTGCATCGGCAGGGGCAATCTTTATCACCAGCACCACTGGGGAAGCCCCGGAACCCCAGGATCATTACCTAAATGGAGGCTCTCCAAGCCTTCTTTGTTGGATTGTTGGGAGGGTGTGTTTGCAAGCAACTGTAAACCTAGCCTCTCAGGCTCAGTTGACAACCTGTTGTGAGGTCATAAAATCATTAGGCCCTACTTATTTTATGTTCCTCCTTTCGATAGAGATACGGCTTCAGAGGTATACTTCTCATCAACAAGAAAAATAATAACGTGAGGGTGAACAGCAGGGGCTGGCTGCCCTTGAGGTTGGGGAAGTGACGGAAATTGTGGAGACGGTGGCGACCTGGCTGTGTCTGGTCTCAGGGAGTGGCCGGAAGGGACTGTGGGACTCGGGGGCCGGATTTCCCTCTTTGCCGAAAGAAGTCAGCCACCTGCGTGGAGATGCCGCTCCGTAAACTGACCCACACTTTAAAGCGGTGCGGGGGCTACAGAAGTGGCACATAGGCGGATTCAGCCGGTGGATCTCCAGTCGCAATCTCTGCGGTTCATTTTCATAGATGTGTGAGAAGACAGGGATCCCGGGTCTGGGGGAGCGGGCGGTGAACGTCCAGAGACAGGAACGGGGTTGGGGGTCTGATGGCACCACCGCGCTGGCCGAGGTGAGAGGCACCGCCCGGCAGAGGCCCGGGTGAGCCTTGCCCGGATATAGCGGCCCGTTCCTGCTCTCCCGCACGTCCTTCCTCTTCCCTGGGACGATTCTCCCTGGAGCCTCCTGCCTCCTTGAGGGGAACCCTCAGAGTCGGGCGGTCACTGGCGGCCTCGGGAAGCGCCCCAGGCCCGAGTCAGACCTGAAGATAACGTCACTCGCAGTGTGACCCTGGCGGGCACCTCCATCTCTCGGGGTCTCTTTCCTGAGCTGTAACGTGTGGGAGGGGAACACCTTGCTTCTCAGGATGATGCCTGGGTCATGTGATACGACATGTGAGGCAGTGCTTTGCAAACTTGAAAGCGCTGAACATTATTTGGTTATTTTAAGACTACACCATCTACACACCCCAGTGTTCACAGCAGCGTTATTTACAATTGCCAAGATACGGAAGCAACCTAAATGTCCATCAATGATGAATGGATAAAGAGGCTGTGACTGATAGATATACATATCAATATATCTGAGCATTGTGGCTGAGACTGTAAAGAGTTTGCCTGCAATGCATGAGACCTGGGTTCGATCCCTGGGTCAGGAAGATCCCCTGGAGAAGGGAATGGCAACCCACTCCAGTGTTCTTGCCTGGAGAATTCCATGTACAGAGGAGCCTGGGGTCCATGCGGTCACAAAGAGTTGGACACAACAGAGCAACTCACAGTTTCACTTTTTTTGTGTATATATTTTGTAATAACTGTAAGTGGAAAGTAACATTTAAAAAATTTTAATGAAAAAATCATGCCACCGACTTTGTTCAGTTCTTAAATGCTGGAAGTGCAGCATTAAAAATCATTCATTCATTCACCAAATATTTATGGAGCAACTATTGTGTGTCTGGCATTTCTAAGCAATGACTAAGACAGACATTTGGATCTTCCCGTTGTGGAATGCAAATTCGGGAGAAGGAAGGGGGCAGAGAATAAGAAAACGGAGCAAGAAGGAAGGGGGAAAGAGGAAGGGAGAGGGGGAAAGGGGAATGAAAGAGGGATGGGGAAGAGAAGAAGGAAGTGAGAAGAGGCTTGAAATCAGCCAAAGTAAGAGTGCTCACACCACTTACAGACTGCAAGCGGGGTCCTTCCCAAGGGCAGATTGTTAAACATTTACATCAGGTATTGACAAAAGAGATAAAATAGAACAGGACAGAGGCCCCAAAAGAGACCCACACGTGTATGGACACTGTTTTTTCCCCCAAAGCTATGGAGAAACGATGGTTTATTCAACAAATGGTGCTGTAACAATTTGGATATTCAAATTAAACAACAATAATCCACACTTTACATCATTGATAAAAATGAACTGAAAATGGGTTAAGCATAAAACCTAAAATGTTAAAACTTCTAGAAGAAAATCTTCATGACCTTGGGCAAGCAAAGATTTCTTAGCTATGACACCAAAACTACAATTTGAAAAAGGACAAATTGGATTTCATCAAAATTTAAAACTTCTGGTCTTCAGATGACACAATTAAGAAAATGAGAAAACAAGATAGAGATTGGAAAAAATATTTATTTGCACAGAATATATTTGATAAGAAACTTACACCCAGAGAAAAGAACTCTCAAAGTTCAGTAACTAAAAAAACAAGTGATTCAATAAAACAATGACCAAGTGATTGGGGTACTTCTACAAAGAAGTCCTATGGATGACAGATAAACACAAGGAAAGATGTCCAAACTCATTAGCCGTGAGGGAAATGCAAGTTAAAACCACAACACATCTGTTTTAAAAGCAAAATCTAAAGGACTGACTATGCTAAGTGTCGGCAAGGATGTGCAGAAGCTGGAACTCTCCCGCACTGCTGGTGGGAATGCAAAATGGAGAACAGTTTGGCAGGGACAGTGTCAAAGATCCACCTAGCACATGATCCAGTCATGGATGCCCAGGTTTCCATATGAGAAATGAAAATGCATGTCCATACAAAGACTTACACAGAAATGTTTGTAAGAACAGTTAACACTGGGTTTAAAAGTCCTAAATTGGAAACAACCCAAATGTTGATCAATAGGTGAACAGAAGAAATTCTGATATATGATGAAATACTATTCAACAATAAAAAAGAATATACAATGTGGATGAATGTCAAAATAATTGTGTGATATCATTTTGAAAATAAATTTGCTTGAATGTATATTTTGGCAAGACTTTGAAAAGAAAAATAAGTGAATCCATGGACACCAAGAATCAATGCACTTAATTAAATGTGAAAGATAATACAAGAAAGATATTAAGATATTAAAAAGAAGTGGCAAGAATACACAGAACTATACAAAAAAGATCTTCACGACGCACATAACCACAATGCTGTGGTCACTCACCTAGAGCCAGACATCCTGAAATGCGAAGTCAAGTGGGCCTTAGGAAGCATCACTATGAACAAAGCTAGTGGAGGTGACAGAATTCCAGTTGAGCTATTTCAAATCCTGAAAGATGATGCTGTGAAAGTGCTGCACTCAATATGCCAGCAAATTTGGAAAACTCAGCAGTGGCCACAGGACTGGAAAAGGTCAGTTTTCATCTCAATCCCAAAGAAAGGCAATGCCAAAGAATGTTCAAACTACCACACAATTGCACTCATTTCACACACTAGCAAAGTAATGCTCAAAATTCTCCAAGTGAGGCTTCAATAGTACATGAACCGTGAACTTTCAGACATTCAAGCTGGATTTAGACAAGACAGAGGAACCAGAGATCAAATTGCCAACATCTGTTGGATCATAGAAAAAGCAAGAAAAACATCTACTCCTGCTTTATTGAGTATGCCAAAACCTTTAGTCAAAGGCTGTTGTGGATCACAACAGACTGTAAAATTCCTCAAGAGATGGGAATACCAGACCACCTTACCTGACTCCTGAACAATCTGCATGCAGGTCAAGAAGCAACAGTTAGATCCAGACATGGAACAAGGGACTGGTTCCAAATTGGGAAAGGAGTATGTCAAGGCTGTATATTGTCACCCTGCTTATTTAACTTTTATGTGGAGTACATCATGCAAAATGCCAGGCTGGATGAAGCACAAGCTGGGATCAAGATTGCCAGGAGAAATACCAATAACCTCAGATATGCAGATGACACCATCCTTATGGCAGAAAGTGAAGAGGAACTAAAGAGCCTCCTGATGAAAGTGAAACAGGAGAGTGAAAAAGTTGGCTTAAAACTCAACATTCAAAAAACTAAGGTCATGGCATCCGTCCATCACTTTATGGCAAATAGATGGGAAACAATGGAAACAGTGACAGACTTTATTTTTTTGGGCTCCAAAATCATTGCAGACAGTGACTGCATCCAGGGGAGAAAAGCTATGATGAACCTAGACAGCATGTTAAAAAGCAGAGACATTACTTTGCCAACAAAGGTCCGTCTAGTCAAAGCTATGGTTTTTCCAGTGGTCATGTAAGGATGTGAGAGTTGGACTATAAAGAAAGCTGAGCACAGAAGAATTGATGCTTTTGAACTGTGGTGTTGGAGAAGACTCTTGAGTGTCCCTTGGACTGCAAGGAGATCCAACCAGTCCATCCTAAAAGAGATCAGTCCTAGGTGTTCATTGGAAGAACTGATGCTGAAGCTAAAACTCCAGTACTTTGGCCACCTGATGCGAAGAACTGACTCATTGGAAAAGACCCTGATGCTGGGAGGGATTGGGGGCAGGAGGAGAAGGGGACGACAGAGGATGAGATGGCTGGATGGCATCACCAACTCGATGGACATGAGTTTGAGTAAACTCCGGGAGTTGGTGATGGACAGGGAGGCCTGGCGTGCTGCAGTCCATGGGGTCACAAAGAGTCGGACACAACTGAGCAACTGAACTCAACTGAATTCAGGAAGCCCCTGGGTGATTCCAAAGAAGGTAGGAAACAGTTTGATTTAAACAAAAAAGTAAAAAATGCTTGAAAAATTCTTTATTTAAAGATGCATTAATTGAGAGTTAGTAACAAGGATCACGTGGATGCAGAAATCTTTATTTACAATGATACATGAAATCCTCTGAAAATGTAGGTGTTCTTTAGTTCATTTGGGAGTATAGTCTGAACTGATGGAAAGCAATATATTATAATCTGTATTGTGATAGTTTGCATGTGTAGCTGTATGTTTTAATAAACATTAATATTTTAAATATGAAGGTATCTTCCAAAAATTTTAATAATTATGCCGAATGAAAGAAGCCAGAAGAAAAGAGTACATAATACACTATTCATCAATATACACCTCCGGAAAGCACAAACCACCTATGGGACAGCAAGCAGCTCAGCAGTTGCCTTGAGAGAGCATGTGTAGGGAGCGATCACAGAGGCACACGTGCAGACTTCTGGGGGTGACAGACGTCCACTGGGGTGACTGTGGTGATAGCTTCATAGGTTGATGCATATGTCACAAGTAATCGAGCTGTCCACTAAATAGGTCCTGTTCATTTCGTGTCAGCTATACCTCCAAGTGCTGTTAAAAAAAGAGATGAGGAGGGCACATTGATTCAATAATTAAGAGCCTGAAGGAAGGAAGGGGCCATTAAGATTTTGCTCATAGCTGCAGAATAAAATAGAGTCAAATGGGTAAAGACTCCCTTGTTCAACCCAATTAAATGTCAGCAAAAACGAGTGCCGGGTCACACATCTGCCATTTGGACAATGGATTTGTACAGTGTAGTGGCCTGCATGTTAAGCCACTATGCAGCTGTTATTTAAAAAACCATTTTAATCAACAAGGACTTGTTGCATATAGCATACGGGACTCTACTGAGTAGTCTGTGATAACCTACATGGGAGAGGAATCTGAGGAAGAATGGACACAAGTACATGTTTAACCGAATCACTTTGCTGTATACCGAAACTAACCCAACACTGTGAGCCAACTACAGTCTAATATAAAATAAAAATCACATTAAAAATCATCATGAGAATGTTTATTATCTAATCCAAAGTGAACAAAAGAAGACTGAAAGGTTGTGACTGACCCTTTGATTATGTGTGCATTTTTGTTAAGAACCGCAAAAAACAT